AACTCCAACAGAACTGCAGAAGGTGATATGTCTATAGAAGTCCACCTAAAGAGTTATCTGTTGTTTTAAACTTCCAGAGTTTATAAAAGTAATCTAGATTGTCGGTCTATAAAAGAATTTCATAATTTCAGAATCTACTTTAAATTTCAATAAAAATAAACATTTCATTGATTTCAATTTCAAACTCATTTTATTTTTTTAATAATAAATATAAACATATAAAAAAGCTACGATACAATTATTTTGTGTTTTGATAAGTGTAAATCATCTATTGATAGATATAGTGATGCTTATACATTCTACGTGTTTATTTAGAGGCAACACTCACATTAATCTGTTGAGAAATAAAAAAACAAACTCGAATGCCAAGATACACAACACAGCAATACCATTTTGAATTGAATAGTTTTTTCATCGTGTTCAAGCCAAGATGCAAAATGCCTAATGTTTCTTTTTACGGCGATTTTTTTGTGCGGAACTACTATTATTACTTGTTGTGGGTGCCTCTGGTACTACCACTGTGCCACCGGCAATTTCCTCCTTTAACTCGGATTCGGCAATTTGACTTTGTGCCGTCATATAGAACATTATATCACGTAGCTGTTCCTTGATGGAATTTAATTCAGTTTCTTTTGATTCCTTATAATCTTTGTATTCCTTTTCCAATTGTTTGTATTTGGTGTGCCAGCAGGATTGATTATTCTGCAAGGCACGTGATATTTCTTGTTCCTCAACCAATTGTTTTTGGACTTCTTTGAGTCTGGAAAGACAAATTTAAAAAGATCAATTTCAAAAAAGAATAAATATATATTTCCTTGACCTACTTAGTATTATTTTGATGCAGTTTTCTTTCCAGGGCCAGTTTTTCTTTGGTTAATGTCTGTATGCGTTGATCCATATCGGCAATTTTGCCGTGGGCCCCCTCTAAAGTTGAACGAAAATCACGCCATTCCTTTTCCAAATGTTCCATACGCTCCTCGTAATATTTCCGTTGGGTATCCAGTTGCGATGTTAGCAGATATGTAAATTCCAATTGTATGGAATCGATCTTCTCCTCTCCCTCATCATTTGGTGCCTGTGTGGCCACCAATTTACCATCGGTTTTATTTTGAAAGAGGCGATGTACAAAATTATCTCCCGCATAATCCCACACCGATGATGTACCCAATTGCATGGCAAATGTATGATTTGTGGCACGATAATGTGCCGCAGCATGTCCACCCTGATAACGTCCGCATCCGACATGACCGCAAATCAAACAAATCCACAATGAATCGGTTCCCTCACATTCCATACAAACAGAATTTTCCATAAGTTCGGGAGTTTGTACATGACGACAAACCGGACAGGTGGAATCACCCCATTTGATGAGGCAGTTAGCATGGAAAGCATGATTACAAAGTATGGTCAGAACACCATCGACACTTTCATCCATGCGTTCAAGACAGACTGGAAAAGATAGGCATACAAAGTTGAAAGGTTTTGATTTATGGTAAAAAAAAATATCGTAACATACCTGGACATGTGGGTAACTCAGTGTGACCCAAAGGTGGTAGTCCATCTTCGCCTTTTTCTACCTCTGATACCCATACGGCATGGCACAATGAATCTGGTTCCAATGAATTGTATGCCGCCCCATTATAGGTTTGATAAAATTCCAATGCAGATGAATTTGAACGGAATCTGAATGGAAATAAAAAAGTGTGGTACAGGGTAAACAATGGAGGTTCTACTAAAGTTCATAAACAAGGTATAGGTCTTCTGTAGACAAAATTCGTTATAATGGACTTAAAGAAGACCAGTTGTAAATTTTCTAAATACAAAAACCATCAGCATATCTTCTGAACAAAAAATGACCAGTTATAGAACTTTCTGAAGAATTTCCTTGGACAGGACACCTTTTGCCAATAATATAGAGGACAAAGCATGTGGAGATTAATAAAAATAGAATATGGGTCATGAAAATATTCTATAGACATTCTGCAGGCCTTTTATTGACGTTGTAAAGGCCTTTTTGTAACCCATCTGGCGGTTTTCTATGGACATATATCTTATTGAAGGATATATCTATTATTGAAGGATACCTTTTATAGTCTTTTATAGACAGACGATCTTCCAAATGCCTTCCTTAAATAGGGGATCTTCTACAAAGTTTCAATATATAGAAGTCCTTCTAGAGGCATCTTTTAGAGCGAACCCTTCAAGAAAACTTTTTTAGAAGGAAGACTTTCTGAAGATATTACGTATAGAAGACTATAGACAGGATGTCTTACAGAAGTATTCTATATGCAGAAGATCTAATGGACGTCTGCCAGAAACGGAAGATATTGCTGAGGTGTTATATAGACAGACGGGTTTCTTATAGAAAGGAAGAAGACTTCATAAAGGACGTCCGTAGATAGAAAGAAGACCAACATGAAGTCTTTTATGGACAGAAGACCATCTGCGGACAGATTATCTAATGGAGGTCTTCTTTAGACTGAAATTTGCAAGGAGTTCTAAGGATAGAAAGAAGACCTCCAGAAGATATTCTATAGGCAGAATACCGTCTGGATTTATACACAGGATTCTTCCTCCTGTAGGACTTATGTAAATAGAAAGGAGACTTTTTGAGGGTCTTCATTTTATAAACAGAAATTATTCTTCCTAAAGGACTTCAATAGACAGAAAAAAATACCAAGTGGAGGTATTCTTTACGAAGATCTATAGGCAGAATACCGTCTGGAATTATTTTATACACAGAATGAAGACCTCCCGGAGGTTTCCTATAGGCTGAAGACCTTTTGTGGTCTTCCTATAGAGAGAAAGACATTTTGAAGGCAATCTATTGTCGGAAGACCTTCTGGACTTTTTCTCGATAAGAAGACCTTTAAAGGACTTCAATAGACAGAAATAATATATACAAACTGGAAGTATTCTTTACGAAGATCTTCTATAAGCAGAAGACCGTCTGGAGTTATTTTACACACAGAAAGGAGACTTCCTTAAAGACTTATATAAGGTTTCTGATGATGTTGCAGATTAAACCAGGTTCCATAGTTGAATAGAAGTTAGACACGGTGGAAAGTGAACACCAACTAATCTATGTCGTCCGCAGGCATCATCATCGTCTCCTCCTCGTCATCATCAGGTTCAACAGTGAGTTTGTGACTTGTTCGTCAAAGAACCCCTCAAAAATTCCGGAAAAGGTAACAGATGATTGGTTTGATTAAGTCTGCGGTTGCTAGATCTGTAGATTGAGATCCTTGTCTAGCTTGTTCGTCTGCTTTTTCATTAGCACAGTCAATAGCTGTTAGTGTTTTCAAAACTGCTCTACACTCGAGGACGACCTCAGACTTGATATAACGGGATTTAATGGTTTTAAGAGACGAAGTCCTCCCAAAGGACTTCTATTGACAGAAAAAATTGAGGTCTCAATAATCAGGATAACTTTTGGAGTTCTTATATAAACAGAAAGAGCTTCTGGGGGTTTTCTGTAGAAAAACGATCCTCTTCAGGTCTTCTTTAGACATATTATGGTCTTCTGTAGACAGGTTAAAATCAATGAGAAGATTATCCTGTGGAGGTCTTCAATATATAAATACGTGTGCGTGCTTATAGAGCAAGCCACGGACTTATGAACATCTTCTGTAGGGTTAAGGTTTTCAACTGCCCAAAGGCTGTAGACCAAAAGAAGGCGTATATAAACTCGAAGGAAGCCTTTACGAGGTCTTCTATCGGCAGAAAAGAAGAAGACTTATATAGACAGAACGGCTGAAAGTTTTTATAGACAGAAAGACCTCATGAAAGACGCGCTACAGGACTTCTTAAAGTCTTCTGTAGATGTAAAGGTATTCAATGAACCACCATAGAGGTCTTCTATAGTGGGAAATATCTTCTAAATTTTTCAAAAACAAAATCTACAGGAATTTCCACTTACTCCAATAAAACCATAAATTGATTTGGACAACCATCACGCACAATGCGAATATGCTGAATTTCGGTGTGACAAGGAGCAACAAAGCTTAACAGATCATGACAGCTTAAACTGGCCGGTACAGCCAATAGGCATAGTTTATTAGAGGGGGCATCCTTGATTTCTTTGCGTTCACTGTAAAAGAAAAAATCCTAATTAATAACCTCCCAACATTCAGGTGCTCAGCAAATCATTCCTACTTCTTCTTATATAAATGTATTATACCATTGGTTATCTCAACACTCGGATTACCCGAGAAGAAACCAATTTCTTTGGGCAACTCGGAAGCGCACTGGCCCTCTTCCAGTGGTGTTGTTTCACGCGATGAACTTGAAGTGGGCATTTCACGTTGACGCTTCTCCGTCAATGCTGCCGATTTCTTTGGATCCTTGGCTGAACTCATTTTGTCGTCGTCGTTGTCTTCCACCGCCGCGGCAGCAACAATTTCCGACCACAATTTATTCGTGTAGGTTTCAATGATAATTTGCGAGGATTTTCGTAGGCCACGATCACGTTCGCGTTCCTTAAGGACACGCGGATTATGGGGATGTTCTGATGAAACAGCACCAGCTGTGTCTTCTGGAGAAAAAAATGCGAGAAACAAAGAAATAATATAAAGGATATTTCACAATTCGTGTTCTTTGTGTTTTTCCTTACCCGAATCGTCGGATGTTGGTGAATCGATTTCGATTTTAATAACACAAAGCGATATATTTTGTAGCATTACACACAAATAATTTTTTACTCATTGGGTTGGCAAACGATTTTTGTTGCTGTTGTTGCAAAAAACATTTCTTGTACTTCGGCGGAATATTTTTTTTTTTTAATTTTCTAGATTAACTTCTTTGTTGTGTCGGTCGTTTTTAGAAATTTTGCTTCGCCAATTTTGAACCTACCGAAATTAAATGCGATCCACTGGCAGCAAACAGAAATGTATGAGAGAGAATAATTGGTAAACAAAGAAGCACAAAACAAAATCAACGAAATTTCATTATTGTTTACGTATGAGTGTGATGAATAAGGGCCGATTGTGAAAATCAGCTGTTATTATGCTGAATACCGTAAAATGAGTGCGCATTTACACATTTGCATTTAGTGCATGCATTCGAATGTTATGAATTTTACTTGTAACTCTGGAATAAATGGATAGCTTTTTTTTTAATAAAAAGTTGTTTACTAAAAATATTATTATACAGTCGTGGATGAAACAAAAGTACAAAATATCAAAAAATGTATTTATTTTCAAAAATGTTTTTTTTTTCAGAATAAGATTGAAAAACATGAATGAAATTCTTGCAAATTTATAATTTTATAGCTTCCAGACCTTTTCTCCAATTGATTCATTGCCATATGTATTGCACATAAAACATGCTAAAAATAGCGTTGAAAATAGGAATTTTTCATTGCAAAGAGATTTGCTTCTTCAAAATTTCCCATTAGGAAATTGAAGTAATTGCAATAGGTTCGTTCGTTTACTCAATAATTTGTACGAATTTGTACAAATTATTACAAAATGTTGTTCGTTTACCCAAAAGTCCAGTAAAATAGAGTGAATTGAGAGAGCAGATTTGACAGTTGTGTTACTGAGTATTTACAATTCTTACAAGGAAAATTTACTCAGTAAGAATTTTCTTGCACCATCAGCTGATATTTAATCAGCTGTTTTGTAAACAAACAAAAAATTGTTCTCAAGAAAATTGATTGTTTTGTGAATTTTATTTTGATTTTGTATCATTAAATACCAAAATGGATGAAGAAAACGCAAGTATTTAAAAATAAGGTAATACAAGAGTAATTTGCGAACGATTTTTAGGTTCCAAATCCAAACAAAATCAATTGCAGATACAGAAATAACAGGTCACAACCCTTTTAAATGGTTGTGGGGAACAAACAACATCAATTTTCCGCTTGTTATCCATTTTTCTAATAAAAATGCTGTCTTTTAGTTTGCGCCAATTTATTTGTTGTTTTAATCAGCTGCGTCGAAACAATCTTTTTACTGGATGTTGTTCGTTTACTTTTTGCAGTTTTCTCTCTTGAAAAGGAAAAATTCGTATTTACTCTCTGCAAATTCTTACTGAGTAAATGTTACTGGGAAAGTAAACGAACGAACCTAATAATAATAAAAGTAAGTGTTGTTGTACAACAAACACATGGAAATTTGTTGTTGTAAGTTATTCTAATGTCAAAGTCATTTGACAGAAAAATTTAAACAAACAAACAAATTATCAAGAAATGATATTAATTTTGAAAATGTAATATTTTCGAATCCTCCAAATGAAATTGAAAATAATGAATGAAAATCTATCAAATTTATATTTCTATCGCTTCCACATCTTTACTATATTTAATTGAGTCATTGCATCTTATATGAAAATGCTGGGAATGGCGAGTTATTCCGTGAAGACAGATTTGCTTCCTCAAACTTTTCCAGCAGGCAGATTGGGTAAATTGAATACGGGAGGACATTTAATAAAGAACAATTTAGAATTGTATGCGTTCCCAATTTTCCTGTTGGGTGATTTTTAAAAACATAATATGTCATATTCATATTGACATTAGTATTACGTTGGAATCAAATCAGTTGGGTTTTGCTGTTACCTTTTATAATTGTACCATGGCATATAGTATGTCAAATAAATTATCATAAGGTAGGTTTCCGAAAGGAAATTTAGGCTCAGTTATAACCACGTTCGCCGATTGGTCCACATATTTTATGTTATGTGTGGAAATCTGTCCAGAAATCCCAGCTACTCATAAAATCGAGGAGATTATGTTAGCCTATATTGGAATCGCCCCCTTGGTGCTTGTCACAATTCTCGGGGGAGGTTAAATACGCCTATGGAAAGATTTTATACGGCCAACACAATTTCCATGATTTTGCCTTTGGCCGGGGATTTATGTCCTTCAATTTTCTTTAAGAAGACAAGATTTGAAGCCACTCCATAGCAAAAATAGATTGTAATCCACAATATAAACAACATCACAAGGAGCCATGGGTAATTGTGGGAAATTTAAAATTAATCACGACCATGTGTTAAGCTTTATTTTTCATTGACCTAAAACCGCCAATAACCCAAGAATACACGAATTCATTATTTATTCCTCAAGGAATAGTTCTTGACAAAAATAAATTTATAATTGTTTTTGTTTATTTTTGTCAAAAACTTATTGTCAGCATGACAATTTAATTTCTATAACAACAATGTTGTTTTTGTAAAATATTTGTTGTTGTATCTGATGCATACACCTTATTAAATACACCTTGATGTATACTATAAAATAGGTGTTTATTTCTGTTCATTCTGATCTGACTGATATCAAACTTTGACTTTGACGGCATTCAGCTTCCAAAATTTTCCTTCGAAATGTACGGATAGCATGTGCTCAGTGGCAAACATTTCTAAATCATCTATAATTATTAAATATTTTGAAGTTCCCTTCCTCTAAAACTTATAAATATAAGTTGTAACAACCATGGTTAAATCTTGAGAGCAATGTTCTACTTTAGAAAATATATTTTGTTTAATTTATTGAAAATATGCCAATCGACATAGGGGAGAGGGGGGCACCTTTGAACGTGGGGCAGCTTTGAACAGCGCTCATAAAATCTTGGTTTAAAATTTTTCCGACCAGCAACCAAATTTTTTTATGTGCCAATCGTGTTCTTCATCTGCGTAAGCCACTTTTGCTAGCTTTTTCAGTTGTCGACAAATTGTACAGGGGTGACCATGTTTTCGCAGTGTAATTGTAAACTTTTTTTCATTTGTTTGTAAGGCGCAGGAAGAATTTTGTGAAAGTTTTCTTTCGTTAAACAATTTTTTTGCATTCCAATAGCTGTATTTTTCACAATATAAATTTTTGTTTTTATGTAATTTTATGCTTTAATAAATTTTGATCAGAATATTTCAATTTTCGAATATTTTTGTATATATTTTTTAATAAATAAATGCATTTCTGATATATATGAATACAATACATATATATTTGAACATAAACACTGTAAAAAATCATGCCGTTCAAAAATACCAAGCTTTGTTCAAAGGTGCCCCCCTGGGGGGGCAGTTTTGAACACTTTGACTTCCTCCATTAAAAAAGTAATAAAATATGTATATCAAGCTTAAAGTATGTCATATTTATATTCATGTTAAAGGTTACATATGTACCTATTAGTTAAAACTTATAAGAAACCAAAAATTATAACATGAGCATTTTTATGAGGCTTGAAAGAAAAAAGTGTTCAAAGGTGCCCCCCTCTCCCCTACATATAAATTAAAAATTGTTATTATCAATTTTTCGAATTGGATAGCAATTGGATAGCTGGATAGCAACTGTAGTGGACATCATGGGTAATGAATAGGCGAACGAATTAGTTACATGGATCATGGATGATCACAGTGGATCGGACGGTTTCAGAGTGCTGCAGCCACATTAGTAGCTGCACATCCCCAAACCTAACCTAACTTGTATAGGTTGAGGCAATAACGAAAATGGCTTTATGGGAGTGAGCGTGGCTGGTCATTTGAATTTCCGCACACTTGTTAGACACCATTCCTCAAGTCAGGCCCAATACAAATTGAGGCGTTTACAACACTCCGGTTGCAATTGTTTCATAATTCCATCTAGTTTGTCGCGCTAGCTGCTGCTATTCAGCATCTGCACCATTTTTAATACTATTCAATCCTGTTTGATAGGCCTGTTGTTTTAGAGACTATATTTTATACTTTTAAACTCTTTTCTCTCTCTACACCTTTCAATTGCAATTCGAGAATTTCATTTGTAATTCGAAAACTCAATTTGCAATTCATAAAATTGCATTTGTAATTCTAGAATGTAATTGGTAAATCACAAAAATAATTCAAAAATATTTTTATGAATTACAAATGAAATTCTTTAAATTCCAAATGGAATTTTATTAATTTCAAATGGTATTTTATGAATTTCAAATGCAATCTTTAGAACTTCAAAGTATATGACTTTCAAACGGAATTCTATGAATTTCGAAATATATTCTATGAACTACAAATTAAATTATCGAATTACAACTGACATATTACGAATTGCAAACTGAATTCTCGAATTACATTTGGCAGATCTTCTAAACATATAGAAAACCTTCTAGTATCGTTCTAAAGACAGAATATTGGTGGTCTGCTCAGCTTGGCGATCTCGCCTTTAAAAGTTATTCGATAAACTGAAAATTCTCTAGGATATCTTTTCAATAAAAAATATCTTCTACAGCGGTTATATATAGAAAATAAGTCTTTAGAGGGCTTCTATAAGGAGAACTTCAGAAAAAATTTGGAAACATTTCCCTTTTATTGTGTTAGTTGACGGAATTTGTAATTTTTACCTTGTAGAAGGTAAATTAAACGTTACCGAGGTACAGAGTCCCATCGGTTCCATCCGCGAACAAGGGTATGAAGGCTTTTTGCCAGGATTTTGCAAGTTTTTTTTTTTTTGCATGATTTGGTAGGAGCGTCGTAATGTGTGAGGACACACAAATACACGATCGATAGAACACACACAATTATTGTATATTACAATAAGAATCATAGGAGCTCCACTTGTATTCTCAAAGTGGTGTAGGGTATTATATAGCCGGTGATCCTCTCATTACTGATATAACTATGCATTTCATATACAATTTTTTTCTAATAAAACTAAATTGCATTTTTTTCCCTTAAATTTCGAAAGTATTAATCTCTCAAACATTGTCGGATTTTCACTCAAGAGCCTCTTTAGTTGTTTGAGTTTCTTGTTACATTTTACACTTGACATTGATGTTCTATACTTAACCCAGCATCCACACATTCCGATATTAGCATAATTATGGCATGCCACTGATTGCATTACATAAGAAGTACTCTTCATAATTAACATAAACCATAATAAGCCGATAAGACTATGTACCTGCTTAACGGACTTATATTTTTAAATACATTCTTATATAAGAATTAAGAATCTTTCTTTTTTATTTGATGCATAATTTGATTTAATTTTCAATTGAGTTGACGACATTTGTTAGTCGTCAAAAACATAAAGTTTTCATAATTAGATTTAGTTGCAGATTTGCAACAGTCATTGGACGCCATTCATAATGTTCGGACGTTTTAAAGCGATCTATTTTGTGTTTGTAATATTGTTTGCTTGTAAGCTATTTACGGGCAGCACGGAGGTAAAGAGTGTCCTGTAGTTATTTGTGATTGATGTGAGATTTGTGATTAATGTGAGATTTAATCCTTTGCAGAATGCGGTCGCTAAGGTCCCAGATGATGTTGTGATGCGTCAGAAAATTGTAACGGAACTGGATGAAATGAAAGGATTGGTAGAGAAAATGTATAGAAGGTAATGAGGCAAATGAGACATCTTGGTCCTTGAACAAATATGTTATATATTCTATGACTTGCTATTAAAAAAATCCAAGACTGAAGATATTTTTGTCCTTTGCAAAAATATTTAAAAAAATCTATGCCTGACGATCTTTTGATCCTTGGAAAAATATTTTTAAAATCTAAAAATCCACGCCTGAAAAGCTTTTGGGCCTTTGAAATCTAAAAAACCACGCCTGAAAATCTTTTGGACCTTTAAAAAATATTTTTAAAATCTAAAAAACCACGCCTGAAAATCTTTTAGACCTTTGAAAAAATATTTAAAAAAATCCAAGCCTGAAGACCTTTTGGTCCTTGGAAAAATATTTTTAAAATCTAAATAACCACGCCTGAAGATCTTTAAAAAAAATAAAAAAAATATTTTAAAATATCCACCCTTTTAAAAAATCTAAGTCTGAAGATCTTTTGAACCTTTGAAAAATATTTAAAAAAAAATCCACGCCTGAGGATCTTTTGAACCTTTGAAAAATATTTTAAAACCAGTGAGCGGAGCAGTATAGTCGGACGGGGCCGACCATACGATACCCTACACAACTTCCATGAAAATCTAACTTTTTGTGGTTCTATATTCTGAGATTTGGCAATATTTCGCGATCTTTGCACACTTTTGACTGGCTAGAGGTCAGCAAATGTTACTAATAATCAGTACAGCCCCTCTAATTACTTGTCCAGATTCCCTTCGCCGTGGGTTGTGTTGTGATGTTCGGCTTTCGACTCGAAAAGTACAAATAATTAAATTTTCGGTCCACTTCATCCGAAAAGTTATTATCTGATCATCACCTAACATTTTAGGCGTTGTCCTTGACCATAACTGGTACCTCATGGAACATTTCAAAGCGATCAGCGCTATATTTCCGCCCTCCAGTGTGGTAATAGGTTACTAAATAATATATGAATACGTAAGTACCTGTAAATATTTAAGTGTAACTCCCGCATCCGAGTACCTACGACAACATAATTGGTATCAATTTAAAGGTCAACCACTCCTTTGGATATACTATCAACTTCTGGGATCTATGTCCTTCAGTCGTAAATATATACGCTATAGAATACAAAATTTTGTAATTTTTCACACAAAAGTTAGGGTCCATTTGACCCGCTAAATATTGACCGATCTTTATCAAAACAGGCATGCTTATTCTTTGAACCGATCCCCTTCTCCATGCAAACATTCGCGGTGTTTGGGCCATAATTGTGGCGTCTGGTGCGACCAGAAAATCGGACAAAAATTTAGTTTTTGGTCCATTTCATCCCCTAAATATTAACCGATCTTTTCCAAAAACAATAGGGGTCTTCATTGGCCAGAACCCATCCTACATGCAAAATTTCGTGAAGATTGGTCCATAACTGTGGCCTGTATCGTGTTTACAAATTATAATGGACAGACGGACGGACGGACGGACACACATGTCTAGATCAACTCAGCTAGTCGAGATATGACGATCGGTATACTTAAAGGTGGGTCTAGGACCAATATTTCGCGGCGTTACAAACTTTTGGGGCTGCACAAAGCTATAATACCCTGACAACATAGTTGTGTAGGGTATAAAAATCCACGCCTGAGGATCTTTTGAACCTTTGAAAAATATTTAAAAAAAATCCACGCCTGAGGATCTTTTGGAACTTTGAAAAAATATTTTAAAAAATCCACCCTTGAAGATCGTTTGGAACTTTGAAAAAAATTTTAACAAATCCAAGCCGGAAGATCTTTTGGAGCATTGAAAAAATATTTAAAAAAAATCCAAGCCTAAAGATCTTTTGGAACTTTGAAAAAATATTTTAAAAAATCTAAGTCTGAAGATCTTTTGATTCCTGAAAACATTTTTATAACACCTGAATATTTTTTGGTCCTTTGGAAAATGTTTAAAAATCTACGCCTGAAGATCTTTTTGTGCTTGAAAAAATATTCTTTAAAAATCCAACCTGAAGGTCTTATGGTGTTTAAAAAATATTCTTCAAAATATCCACACTCATTGGTGGGATGGTTTTTAAACAAATTTAATATCCCTGACCTGTTTGTCCTTAAAATTATAGGAGTTACCCTTGACCATACCTGGGCCCTCATGGAAAAATTCAAAGCGATCAACGCTATATTTCCGCCCTCTAGTGGGGTAATGGGTTGTGTGCTTAGGGTCCACGGCTTTATTCGCACTGCGTCATACCTTACTTGGTCCATCGGACCCAAATAAGTTGAATTTGTTTTCATCATCAACAATAATAGTTTTTCTGAATGAAAAATCCTTTTTTCCTGTTCCTGAACGAACTCCAATCGGATTTGCCGGTTTTTGGGATTTTTGAATGACATGAAGACCATGCTTACGCAAAATTTTTCGTATCAATGCCTCTGTTGGTCCTGGAAAAAATTTTCTTAAAAAAACCATGCCTCTGTTGGTCCTGGAAAAAATTTTCTTAAAAAAAACCATGCCTCTGTTGGTCCTGGAAAAAAAATATTCTTAAAAAAATCTACGCCTCTGTTGGCCATTTAAAAAAATATTCTTTAAATAATCCATGCCTTTGTTGGTCCTTGAAAAAATATTCTTTAAAAAATCCATGCCTTTGTTGGTCCTAGAAAAAATATTCTTTAAAAAATCTACGACTCTGTTGGTCATTTAAAAAAATATTCTTTAAAAAATCCACGCCTCTGTTGGTCATTAAAAAAATATTCTTTAAAAATCCCCGCCTTTGTTGATCCTTGAAAAATATTCTTTAAAAAATCCACGCCTCTGTTGGTCCTTGAAAAAATATTCTTTAAAAAATCCATGCCTCTGTTGGTCCTTGAAAAAATATTCTTTAAAAACTCCACGCTTCTGTTGGTCCCTGAAAAAAATTCTCTTTATAAAATCCACCCTTAATTTATAGGCCCCACAATTTTGTCTTAAATTTTAATTTCATGACTAATTTTTTCCTTTGGTATTTTCACAGATTTGAAGATGCTAATGTCGGACCCAATAACGGTAGGTATTTCTCATTAAACTTTGAAATCAAAAAACTCAAGATATTGAATTTTATTTCGAAACAGAGACAACCATTTTTGATATACGCTTCGATACCATACCCGAACATTGGTAAGTCAAAAATAATCTTGTGATAGAAATTTGAAATTGTATCCCCCACCTTCCCCTTCCACAGTCAAACCAAAGAACTCCCCATCAATTGTGATGAAGCTACTGCCTGCATAAAACGTAATGGGATCTATAAAATCCTCGTGAAAGAATTCAGCACTGAACCCTTACTGGTGGAATGTGATGCAAAGACCCTAAATGGTGGTTGGCTCCTCATACAACGTCGTCATGATGGTTCCGAGAATTTCTATCGTGATTGGATCTATTACAAGGATGGTTTTGGTAATATCCAAGGAGAATTCTTTATTGGTTTGGATAAATTGCATGCTCTCACAAATTATTTGGGACCCCAAGAGCTTTTGGTCGTCATCGAAGAGGAGGGTATTTATAAATATGCCCGTTACAATAGCTTTGCCATTGGCAATGAAGAGAAGTTGTATGTCCTCAAGTCATTGGGCAAGTATTCCGGTACCGCCGGAGATTCGATGAAAAGTCATGTCAATATGGAATTTACGGCTCGAGATCGTGATCATGACAAGGATGTTAGTAATTGTGCTCAGCGATATACGGGTGCGTGGTGGTATAAAAATTGTCATCAAAGGTGGGTGGAGGAGGAGGGGAGTTAGAGGTTTTTGGAAATAAGATTATCCGAATTTTTATTTCTTGTTTTAATTATTTTCCAGTAATTTAAATGGCAAATATGGCGACAACACCTTTGGTAAAGGCATTAATTGGCAAACCTATAAGGGTTCCAATCACTCGATTACCAATGTCAAAATGATGATCCGACGTCGTCGAGAATAAAGTGATGGATAATGTGATTTGGACGCTTCTTTGATATTCAATATTATTTACAGGACTTGGCAATAGTATATCCCGCATTTGTATTAACATACACCCATATATAGAAATAAAATAAAATCGTATAATTATGACAGCAATAAACAATACGTCTGTGCAAAATGTGCCGTTAATTTGTATATCCTCAGTCTTAAGGTTAATGATGGGTATATACACTTCGATATTCATTTTCAGAAAAAATTGGTCTAACGGTACCCAAAAAATATTTCTTAAAAAACTACCTATACGGTATGGATGGTCCTTGAAAAAAATATTTTTTTATGAAATCCAGACTTATTAAATTGTTGGGCTTTTAAAAAAATTATTTCAAAAAATTCTATGCGTGGTCCCTGAAAAAATAGTTTTTAAAAAATCCACGCTTATGTTCGGTCATAAAAAATATTTTTAAAATACTCCTCTAGGATATGCTATCAACTTCTCGGGTCTATGTCCATCAGGAGTAAATATATACGCCATAGAATACAAATTTTGTAATTTTTCACACAAAAGTCAGGGCCCATTTGACCGGCGATCTATATGAGAACAGTCCTGCTTATTCTTTGGCCCGATCTTTTTTTCCATGTAAAATTTCGCGATGTTCGGACCATAATTGCGGCCTCTGGAGCGACCAGAAAAACCGACAAAAATAAAGTTTTTGGTCCATTTCATCCCCTAAATATTAACCGATCTTTTCCAAAAACAATAGGGGTCTTCATTGGCCAGAACCCATTCTACATGCAAAATTTCGTGAAGATTGGTCCATAACTGTGGCCTGTATCGTGTTTACAAATTATAATGGACAGACGGACGGACGGACACACATGTCTAGATCGACTCAGCTAGTCGAGATATGACGATCGGTATACTTAAAGGTGGGTCTAGGACCAATATTTCGCGGCGTTACAAACTTTTAGGGCTGCACAAAGCTATAATACCCTAACAACATAGTTGTGTAGGGTATAAAAATCCACGACTATGTTTGTTCCAGGAAACCCCTATTTCTAGTCCTTAAAGCTATTTTATCCAAGCCTTTCTCTTGTCTTTGAAAAAATATTTTTTTAAAAATCCACTTAGCTGGCTTGTGACAGAACTTTCGTTCCATAAGCCAAGCTTAAAAAAGATTTCCAGGCGCATCGGTCTTTTGTGCAGTTTTTCCATTTTGAAAGATCATATTCGGCAATGTTATCTTCCACTTGATCTTTCCATCTTATTCGTGGCCTATCCCTTCTGCGTGAACCATCAGCTGGTTCGCTTTTATATGGTTTTTGAGCTGGGGCATCTTAATCCATTCTCACATGACCTAGCCAACGTAGTCGCTGCAGCTCAATACGTCTACGCAGATTGGCACATAGATCTTTCGGATAATTTTTCTCTCAAACACTCCAAGAGCTGGCTCATCTGCTAGCGTAAGTACCCATGCTTCAGATCCATATAACAGCACAGGTAGTACCAGCGTCTTGTAGAGTGTGAGTTTGGTCTGGCGGGAGGTGGCCTTGCTTTTGAGGTGCTTACTCAGGCCATAGTAGCATCTGTTGGCCAACACTATCCTTTTCCGAATTTCAAAACTGATGTCATTAGTTTTATTTATGGCGGTAGCAAGGGATATAAAATCGTTGACTACCTCGAAGCTGTAGTTCTCAAGTTCCACAGTTGGTCCGAGTCTACTGGACATCTTGCGGGTTGATACCATCAGCATCAGCCAGACCCACTTTGGCAGTCTCCTTCTAAATTTGTTCAAAGGTGGCTGTTACCGCTCTCATGTTCATGTCATCGGCATAGGCGAGTAACATGTGTTGTTTGCTGTACACAGTGCCATTTCTATTCACCTTTGCCTCTCGTATGACCTTATCCAGCAGGAAAAAGGTCACACGATAAACTCTCACCTTGTCTAAATCCTCGTTCGGTATTAAGGGGCTCCCTGCATAGCCGAATTAATTTTGCAGGAATACAGAACGCTGACATGGTTTTAAACACCTCTGAACGGATAGGGCTGTCGAATGCGTCTTTATAGTCGACGAATATGTGGTATGTGTCGATATGTTTTTCGTGTTTTTTTCCCGGATTTGCCGCAGAGGTCTGAAGCCGCATTGGTATGGTCCAATAATGTCATTGACCAATGGCTTCAGCCGTTCACACAGTACGCTGGATAGCACTTTATATGCGATGGGAAGAAGACTGATTCCTCTATATTTAGCGCATATCGTCTTGTCTCCTTTTTTGTGCACGGGACACAGGCTCAGCATCCTGTGTTCCAATTATTGGGCATGCATTCCTCTAGCCAAATGGTACTAATCAACTGGTGCATGCTCCTTACCAGCATCTGACTACCAATCTTGAATAATTCGGCTTGTAACCCATCGCCACTTGCTGCTTTATTATTCTTCAGCCGATTGATTGCTATCCTGACTTCTGGTGGCATACACTCAATACCGTCATATATTATTGGTTCTGGGGTATCCTCTTCACCGCCACTATTTGATACCAGAAGCTTTTCAAAATGCTCCTTCCAGATCCTCAACACGCTGTCTGTATCTGTCACCAGGTTTCCTTCTTCATCTCTACAGGGGGATGTGCCTGCACCAAAGCCTTCTGTTTGGTGTTTTACCCGTTGGTAGAATTTTCGGACTTCATTCTGACTCCTGTACATCTCGATTTGCTCACGCTCATGTTTTTCTTGTTTTTTATTCTTTTTCTGAAAATACGTTTCTCCTGTCTCCTTTTCTCCCAATAATTCTCCGTCGCATTACGTGTTGCTACTGTCCACAGGGTTTCATATCAGTAGCATTACGACACTCCTGATCGTACCACGGATTTCTTGATGGTGGTCTTTGGTACCCATGTGTTGCTTTTGCTGCAATTTGTAGGGAGTGGGCAATTCTCTGTCATCGTGCTTCTATATTATCATCGGGACAAGGGGTGCTTTCGTCAAACAGTTGGGTAAGTTGAGCGGAGTAGGCTTCAGCTATCTGTTGTATTTGCAGATTTCCGAATTACATTACAAATTCCCGTGTTACATTAGATCGTACCTTTGCTGCTACATTAAGACGGGTGCGTACCTTGGCTGCCATAAGGTAATGGTCCGAATCGATATTCGCTCCCCGGATCGATCGGACGTCTAAAACACTGGATGAATGCCTTCCGTTGTTCGATCGGGAGAAATCCAAGCGGCCTTGTGTATATTGAGATGCTTGGATCTGGTGCTGCTAACTACCATGTTTTCTGCTGCCGCGAAGTCAGTCAATATCATCCCGTTGTCGGATGTTTCTTCATAGAGGCTGAATTTTCCGACGGTGGGGCCAAAGATATTTTCCCTTCCGATTTTTTGCATTAAAATCTCCTAGCATATGCTGTTTCTAGGCGCTCGTAAAATATGTCTTTGGTGTGTTCATCTTTATCTTCGGTCGGAGCATGGGCGCAAATGAGACTGATGTAGAAGAACTTCGCTTTTATACGGATTATAACAATTCGCTCATCTACTGGAGTGAATCTGGAGACGAGGTCAATTATTCTCTTGTTAACCATAAATCCGCAGTCAAATTTATGTCTCATTTCATGACAGCTATAATACAGGGCGTAATCATCTGATTTACTTACACCAGTCCCTTTCCATCACATTTCCAATAATATGTACATAGCGAACACTGCGCCTGTTCTGTACAACGTGCGCACATTCCAAGTACAGATTCGCAGATCGTGGTCCTTTATACGTTTGCGGCGGTCGTCAGGCAGGTAGGTTTGGTTTTCTTTTTCTTTGCTTTTTCATAATACGTTAGGTTTTCCGAGAGTGGGCAACTAACCCGACGCCTCAACCCATTTTTATAGTTATTATGGGTGAACTCGGGGCATATATTAGCTCACTATTTTATCGGGTGATGAAAATAGCTCCCCAGGTGGCACCGCGGGGAGGTCAGTGTCCACAATTGAGATGAATAGGGGTCAAGATAAGCCTGAACTTCGCCATGTTAAAGCCAATCAGAGCCGTTGCCTGGTATTTATCATCCCCTACGCCACCAATCTGGCACTTGAGTCCTTCAAAACAAATTTCTCTAAAAAATCCAGGCCTCTGTTAGTTCTTGAAAAAAGTTCTTTAAAAAATCCAGGCCTCTGTTAGTCCTTGAAAAAAAAGTTCTTTAAAAAATCCAGGCCTCTGTTAGTCCTTGAAAAAAGTTCATTAAAAAATTTCACGCCTCTGTTGGATCATTGAAAAAAATTCCACGCCTCTGTTGGTCCTTAAAATTTTTTCTTTCAAAAATCCATGCCTCTGTTGGTCCTTAAAAATTTTTCTTTAAAAAATCCAGTCCTCTGTTGGTCCTTGAAAAAAGTTCTTTAAAAAATCCAGGCCTCTGTTGGTTCTTTGAAAAAATTTCTTTAAAGAATTCCACGCCTCTGTTGGTCCTTGAAAAAAGTTCTTTAAAAAATTCCACGCCTTTGTTGATCCTTAAACATTTTTCATTAAAAAATTCCACGCCTCTGTTGGGCCTTAAAAAATTTTTCTTTAAAAAACCACGCCTCTGTTAGTGCTTTAAAAAAGTTATTTAAAAAATCCAGGCCTCTGTTGGTCCTTAAAAAATTTTTCTTTAAAAAATCCACGCCTATTGATCTTTTGTTGTTTGAAAAAAATATTCTTTAAGAAATCCATGCCTATGGTCCTTCAAAAAAGTATGTTCTCCAACAATAAACGAATTAAGTTCAACCTGAAAGTATTCAGTTAATACCTTTAACCTGACTTATATGTATGTTGAAGATTTGGTGGTAGTGGTGGCCTGCATTCAATAGTTGCACTATTAATGTTTTTACATTGAAACATACATATTCAAATTTCTAAAAGAAATACACATACACACTCACCCATACACATGTGTGTAATACCTGTTGTCCAACAAAAGTTATTTCCAGGAAGCCCACACACACTCGCCTCTAACCCACATTTCCATGCCATGACATGATGGCCCCATCCTTTTTGC